CAATTGTCATCGATTTTGGCTCGGATAAACTCTTATAAACATTCTTCACAGCTCTGGGCGTTTTACGGCGACACCTGCCAAAGCAGAAGAGAGGGGGGCAGTGCAAGCTTACTGTCCCTTAGCTGCAGTTCTGAAATCCAAGAAAAATCCGGGAACCCATTTTTTCTTCATCTGGTGCCAATGCTTACTCTGAATTGAGGCGAAGCTTTTTATAGCTTTTGTCCCATTTACTGTGGGTACTCACACGGTGCACAGCGGAAATATGAATACTGTTTTAAAAAAGAAACAACAGGCCAAAATGGAGTCGCTTGTGCTAAGCCAGGTCACCAAACCAAAACTCAGTAACTAACCCAATCGCAGTTTCAGCCTCTCCCAGGAGTGGGATCTTTTTTTTTTTTTTAATATATATTTTATTGATTTTTTACAGAGAGTAAGGGAGAGGGATAGAGAGTTAGAAACATCGATGAGAGAGAAACATCGATCAGCTGCCTCCTGCACACTCCCCACTGGGGAAGTGCCCCCAACCAAGGTACATGCCCTTGACCAGAATCGAACCCGGGACCCTTCAGTCCGCAGGCCGACGCTCTATCCACTGAGCCAAACCGGTCAGGGCAAGAGTGGGATCTTAAGCAAATTAGTCTGTAATGTCCTGATCAACTCTAGTGAGGCAATCTGCCTGAGGAGACCCCCCCACCCCACCCCACCCCTGACTTTCCCTAAGGCAGCGGTTCTCAACCTGTGGGTCGAGACCCCTTTGGGGGTCAAACGACCCTTTCAGAGGGGTCGCCTAAGACCATCGGAAAACACATATATAATTACATATTGTTTTTGTGATTAATCACTATGCTTTAATTATGTTCAATTTGTAACAATGAAATTGGGGGTCACCACAACATGAGGAACTGTATTAAAGGGTCGAGGCATTAGGAAGGTTGAGAACCACTGCCCTAAGGGGAGGTGTCCTTGCCTGAAACAATCCATCCCAGCCTCCTTCTGCCTATAGGAACCTCCCATCTTGTACAGCTCATGGGAGCACCTCTAGTTGCTAGATGGGATGCTGCCCAGTTCATGAATCGCTTAATCAAGCCAATTAGATCTTCACATTTACTCAGTTGAATTTTTGTTCTTTCATAATACATCTGATCATGTAAGATGGTCCCAGGCCCCACTGGGGGTCTTTAGGAATGTACATACCATAATACCTTTCTAAAATCAGGAAACTCCTGAATTACAGAATCATATCTGGCTCTTTGAGATGTGGTCAGAGATCATAGACCGACACTCCCATTAAATAGTGGCCCTTCAGCAACTTACCCCCAGGCAGCTTTGACCTTGGCATTGGGATTGTCACTTTAGTATCACTTTCTGCCCCTCTCCCTTCTCCTATGCCCCGAGGAGCTTGACAGCCTCTTAGGTGTGCCTTAAAGTTCCAAGTCATGGCTTTGCGGGTTTAGGGACCAAGGATCCAGAAACTGATGACAAAAGGTTCCTCTAGGAGTTGTGGACGAAAGGAGCCACATGCTGACCTGACAAGCTCAGGGCAGGCCTGCATGGCGGTCTTGCAAACTCAGAGATCTAAAGTAACCACAAAGGATGGTCTGAAATTAAACTTTAACTAAGGCAGTTATGGTGGGCAGTTACATCCTAGGCCGGTATCTTCACTGACAAGGTCAACTTTTACCTTCACTGAGCCTATCTGTCTTTTTGCATCTATGATAACATACCTTTGAAATGTCTGGGTAACTTGTAACTTCCCTTTTTCTGGAGCCCCTGGGACACAACCAAATGTGCTGGGCGCCAGGACAGATACCACAAATTCCTTTATTATGATGTTAATTGATCCAGCACCCACCTAAGTATGTGTCCATCATTTTACTTTTTATCCAATCTCAGGGGTTTCCCTTGCTTTGCTTTATCCTTCCTCCTTAATTTATCACCAATGAATTTCATGTAACCCACCTACGTCCCTCCTTTGATTGCAAATGTATAAATACAAATGTAACCCCGCCATTCTCCAGGGCATTATTTCAATTCGTTGAGGTTCTGCTTCCTGGCATATGTCGACAGTTTGGCTCAAATAAACTCACAAAAATTCTTTACAGGTTTCAATGGTTTTTTTTTTATGTTAACAGAGTCAAGGGAGAGGGGCTGTCTTGTTGCTGAAAGGAACCATCAGATGGTCACACAAGATCCTCATCCCATCACAGGCACAGGCAACTCAGGTCCACATCCTGGTCATTTTCAGCCCAGAGAGCAGCAACCGTGGGCCCGTGGCAGCTGCGGTACCAGCACAGTCGCCCCACGAACTATTTGGTGAATGGACAACCAGGTCACCATTCTCAGCCAGGGCCTAAGGTGTGGCCTCAGCGACCTGAGTTGAAGCTGCCACACGCTGGCCTCGTCCAGGTGAGCCAAAAGGGACTCAGAACCCAGAAAACATTGGGCCAGAGAGCTCCTGCCTGAACCAGTGAAAGCATTGTTTTTGCAGGTCACCTTTGATCCTTAACCAAGAGGCTTCGCTCTGTGTGTTACCGCTGTGGCCTTGGGCAAGACCGCCACCTCTCTCCGAGCACCGGTTTCCTTGGCGCAGGTCACATGTACCTCTCGGTCTGTGTGACAGCTTAATACGGTGATACGTGGAAAACACTTAGAATAGCGCCTCCACGCCTGGGTTGTCGTACATTAAAATCGCCCAGTACTTTCTGGGAATCTCCTTTGGACCAGTGGTCGGCAAACTGCGGCTCTCGAGCCACATGCGGCTCTTTGGCCCCTTGAGTGTGGCTCTTCCACAAAATACCGACTTCTGAGCATGGGCCACAAAGTTTCAATCGCACTGTACGTGCGCGCCCGCACGTGGTATTTTGTGGAAGAGCCACACTCAACGGGCCAAAGAGCCGCATGTGGCTCGCGAGCCGCAGTTTGCCGACCACGGCTTTGGACAAAGCCACAAAGTTCCCTGGGAGGGCAATAGTGAGGAGCTGAAATGACACACACACAGGCAGCCCCATCACACTGATGTGTTTTTTTGCATCAGTCCCTCCTGGCGTCACCTCTGCCCTGGGCAAAAAGCTCAGACTAGGGCAGGGGTGGGCAAACTTTTTGACTCGAGGGCCACAATGGGTTCTTAAACTGGACTGGAGGGCCGGAACAAAAGCATGGATGGAGTGTTTGTGTGAACTAATACAAATTCAAAGTAAACATCATCACATAAAAGGGTACGGTCTTTTTTTTTTTAGTTTTACTCATTTCAAACGGGCTGGATCTGGCCCGCGGGCTGTAGTTTGCCCACGGCTGGACTAGTGGCACATTGAGTCCTAACCACTGCCGGCCCCTCAGCCCCTTCAATACCTGCCCCGGGGCCCCTCCTCAGCACCTGCAGGCCGACTCCAGGCAGCGGGAGCAGGAGCCCACTGGCATTGCCCGGCTTTCCGTTGCTATTTCAGAAGCTGCTGGCAGTCCTTCAGGCAGGGCTGTGATGAATGACCCCTTTCTTCTTCCCAAGATGGTCATGAAAGGCACACACCAGCGCGGTGTGGCTTGGGGGGCAGCCAGCTGGCATAACCAGCAGGCCCTTCATAATCACAAAGGCGGGAAGTGGGGCACAGGGGGGGCTGTGCTTTTCCGCTTGGGAGTCTTCCTTGCACGGCGGGGCCAGAACTGCAGGGCCAAGGGAGACCCTTGAAAACTCACTTCATGCGTTTGTCACAAGTGACTCGTCCATGCTCTGCTCACGACTTCCAGGCGATGCTTTCCGGCGACAGTGAGGGGAGGGGGGAGCCAAGTCCTGCTGCAGACCCTGCCCACTGTCCCTCCCTGTGGCTCCTTGGCAGGTGATCCTGAGCTGCTATCAGCCCAGGAAGCAATGCCTGCACCCAGCAGGGCCACTGATCTGAGGCTCTGACCCAGGTCTGGGCCTCTGTGACCCTGAGGAAGCCACCTCTCACCACCCAGACCCACCAAGAACGACCTCTCCCCGAACTTCACTCAGCTCAGAACTCGTGTGGAGGTGGGAGACTGGAACAAGCAGACGGCTATCTCCTTTCTTTTCTGTTTCACCAATTTGTGCTCTCTTCTGCATGGTTTCCTTCTATTTTTTTTTCTAGGTTTGATTTACTATTTCTTTTCTAGCTTCTTAAAATGGAAGCTTAAATTAATGATTTTCAGCTTTTCTTCTTTTCTAATCTATGGATCGAGGCCTATACAATTCCCTCTGAATACTGCTTTAGCTGCAATCCCACAAGTTTGATATGTCACATTTTTATATCTTGTTTTAAAGACCTGTTTCACCCTTTTTTTGATAAATTAAAATATTCAAACAGAATTCCAAATTAAACTATTAAGCTCATCTCACTTTATTTCCAGAATCACTTTGCTGTAGATTCTCTGTAAAAAGATTTGAAAGAGTGAAGAAGCCCTGGGGATTTTAGGGTTCCCAAATGCAACAGAAGAGGGTCAAGGGGACCTTGCCCTTTGTTTTTGTGTGTTTTTTTTTAAAATATATTTTTATTGATTTCAGAGAGGAAGGGAGAGGGAGAGAGAGATAGAAACATCAATGATGAGAGAGATTCATTGATTGGCTGCCTCCTGCACGCCCACCACTGGGGACCGAGTCAGCAACCTGGGCATGTGCCTTTGACTGATATTGAACCCGGGACCCTTCAGTCCACAGGCCGACGCTCCATCCACTGAGCCAAATCAGCTAGGGCTTGCCCTTTCTGATAAACCACTTCAATTGAATGAAAGTTGTAAACATGAGAGAGAGAGAAACATTAATTGGTGGCCTCCTGTACAGGCCCCGACCCGGGATCGAACCCACAGCCTAGCTATGTGCCCTGACTGGGAATGGAACCCACAACCTTTTGGTGTACTGGACGATGGTTCAACCAACCGAGCCACACAGATCAGGGCAGAATAAGCCCGACTTTAAAACACACTTAACCCAGTTAACAGAAAATCTGCCCATGTTGCACACAATTAGGACCTTAGAAATAGTGTCTGCATGCTGTTGATCTAGACTTATTACGTTTATTTCATATCACTGTGATCATTTACAGCTGTTGAGACTGATTCTCGAGCACATGACTGTTCACAGAATTCACAGAATTCATCAGCTCACTGGTGTTTACATCCAAGGGTTCTCGTAGCACCCCCACATAGGACAGCCCCATGAGGTGCTTGTGTCTGATCATTTAGGACCCGAGTCTGGCTATTTAGGTAGATGTCTACAACATTATTGCTTCATTAGTCCTATTTTTAAAAAAGACTTTCTTTTTAAAAAATTATTGATTTCCGAGAGAGGAAGGGAGAGGGAGAGAGAGATAGAAACATCAATGATGAGAATCACTGATGGGGCATGTGCCTTGATGGGAAACTGAACTGTGACCTTCTGGTTCATAGGTCAACGCTCAACCATTGAGCCACATGGGCCAGACCATTAGACCTATTTTTTAAAATAAATTATTCCCGGAAACCCACCCTGCCAGGTGTGCTTCACACTGTGACTGAGTTCCCTTGTGGCACAGCTGACACGTGGGGCGGATGGAACCCCCACGGGAGAGGTGTGTTCTCTGCGGCTCCGAGGGCTGGCCGAGGCGGAACCATGTCCCCCTGCAGGTGCAAACACCTGCAGCTGCCCCTTCCCAGCCGGGTCTTGCAGCTGACGGACTGCACTCACCTAGGGGCCTCTCTGTAAAACTTAAGACATTAACAAGAAGGGCTCGGCGAATGGGGACTAATGCTCCTAACACAGCCGCTGACCATGCAGGGGAGAACGCCTGAAGCAACAGCAATACCTCAAGTCTCAGCCTGTAAAACGTGTTTCAAAGAAAATGATGTCCTCAGTGATTGTGGCTCAAGGGGACCGCTTTGCGAATGAACCTAAAGACTTCTCCGTAGGTTTCCAGGCTGGGTTTTCTGATTTTGTTCCATGTGAGTTTCTATTTAGTGAAAAAACATCTTGGAGATTTCTTCGTAGCCCCCAGAGCTCTGTGGGTCTGACCGGGGCAGGGCACTGGCTTCCTCAGGGCTGCTGGCGCTCTGGCCGCGTTTGGGGCAGGATCCCTGAGAAGTGGTGGCTGCGTCAGATCTGGAGACGGGAGCGGATGCGGCGTGCGGATGGCAGGCTGCGCTCGGGGCCTCAGTCCAGCTTCTTGTTGTTGTCTGTACTGTGCACAGAAGCTAAAAAGTCGACGAGGAGCTTGGCTGTCTTCCTAGGTCTCTCCATCACCACAGAGTGCCCACAGTTTTCCAGAAGTTCCACCTGGCAGTTGGGGATAGACTTGGCCAGCATGTCTGCCCCGGACACGTCGATCACCTGCAGGACAAGAATGGAAACTCGATGGAAAAGATTCAGACATCTGGGTGTACTTGGTGGACAGACTCCCACGGAGACCGCAGGGGTGGTTTTGGGGACCAAGCCGCTTAAGTGTTAGGGTTTGTGGCCTTCTGACACCGTGACTCATGGCTCCTGGTTTATTCTGCAACTCGGGGCCAGGAGTTGTGGTGCTGCCTGTGCCACTGAGGTGGAAACACAGTGCCTGCCCTTGAGGAGGTTCTGGTCTTGTAGGGAAGGCAGCAGGTGGGCAGACAAAGGCGATGTCACAGAGCGCTGATGGGGGAGGATCCTGGAAGCTGAGGGAGCACGAGGGTGGGAGGCCATGGCAAGCACAGGGACGGCCAGTATCTAGGGGCTGAGACACAGCATGCAGGGAGTGGGGAGAGCAGGAAGTGAGGGGGACACAGCTCACAGGGAGTGGGGAGGGCCTCGTAGGGAGGTGCGATGGGGAGGAGGGGCCCCACTCCTCCAACCATGTTGGGTGTCTGACCTTAATGTCAGGACAGTGGGGAGCCCCGAGGCTGTGTTAGGGACAGAGACGTGGTCAGGCTGGGCTGAGAATGCACCCGAGGGCTGGATTAGGGTGGGTCAAGCGTAGGAAGGACACTGGGAAGATACCAGAGGAGAACACTAATTACCAATGATCACAACTGGGGAGCTCTCTCTGAAGGTCTTTTGGGGTCCCCAGCTGTGAATTATGAGCAATGCTTTTCCAATGTGAAAGCCACAGGGCTGACACTTTTCAACAACTTAGTTAGTTCACTTCAGTTACCTGGGTTGCCTTGCTAGTATGCCAATCCAACTTACTTTTTCTCCCCAACGCCCTTGCTTGGTGAGGTATTTGCATTCATTCCCCTTCTCTCTCTCTTTTTAATCCTCACCCGTTTTTATTAATTTGAGAGAGAGAGGGAGGGAGGGAGAGAGAGAAACACTGATTGGTTGCCTCCCGTACACACCCGACCAAAAGCCAAGTATGTGCTCGAGATCAGGAATCAAACCCGAAACCTTTTGGTGCGCCCCTTCTCATCACTTTCACCCTCAACTCATCCCAGACAAGAAGGCCCCTCCTCTCATCTTAACAGCAAAAGCAAAACCCCAACACACTTGAGCGCTGTCTGTTTTTGAGCTTCATTCTCATCACCCCACATCATGAAAATCAAGATTTCCCACCCATTTGGAAACGGGGCAAGGAGAATGCAGAACCCCTGGGCGGCAAAAAGAAACAGTGAATGGGAAGCTTAGTGAGAGGGGTGCACCCCCTGGAGAAACGGAACTCCTCTGCCTGTCACTCACTCATAGACAAGGTTGCTGTGGCAACCGTCTGAGCAGGTAGAAAGCCTGGCTGCTGTGGAAATGCAGGTGGAGTCGACATGTCAAAGCATGAAAAAGCAGAAGCTCCCAATGGAGTCCCTGTCCTATAGAGATCAGAAACAGCTCACAGGCAAAAAGACCCACTTGAGCTTCTGGCTATGCCGTTAAATGCAGCATTCCCATAGTCACCCACGTGAAACAGCTGGATGGGCCCTCACGAGGGATGCACGTCCGTGGGAACCATGTCAGCGATTTGTTGGCAGGACATACAGATAAATGGTGAATTTTCCTCCACCCCTACTAGGGTGAGGGAAGCGAGGCGCTTGCCTCTGGCACAAACATTTACGTGGGCGCCAAAAAAGTCGGTAATTAAGACGAATACTATTTTAATGCAATATGTAAAAAAAATAAATGTTAGTACAGAAAGATCCATGATGAACAAAATATCAAAATTATAAAGAGACAGGATCCGCCCCTGCATTACACGACACACCTCCGAGTTCCAGCCCTGCCCTGTGCTATAGTGGCAGGTCCACTGTAAGCTGCTGGAGGGCAGATCCTGTCTGTCTTGGTCCTTATGGTATCCCCAGGGTCTAATACAGTGTCAGGCGCATAGTAGGTGCTCAACAAATATCTGTTAGCTGACTTAAATGTGTAGGCAGTCATTTGGTGGGTTTGTCCCTTTGATAGTTTGTTCATTCGCTTTCTTGTTCACTCATTCTCTGTGTGCTCTGGGTCTCTGTGTGCCAGGCACTATGCTGGCAGGGAGAAGGGACCTAAAGAGAAATACACTTTGCTGATCTCCCCACGGCCCTCCCACTCTGTGGAGTGAACGGAGGAGAAGTACTTGAATGAGTGAGTGCACAGAAATCCTCAGGAAGGTCTGCCAGGTCCCGATGTGCAGGGTGTGTACTGCCCACATCCAGGGGGCATCGCTCACATCGACGGCGATGCACACGGCTCCCCTGCAGTTGTGCAGTACAGCGCCCGCCTACACGGGTCCAAAGCGGGGGACACTGAATTCAGGCTGGCAGGGGCGTGTCTGTGACACCAAGTGATGACAGAGCAGGAAAAAAGCCAGACAGCTTGGGAAGCAAAAGGCCATGAAGCAAAAGGCGATGAATACCAGGCCCTAAAGTCTCTGCTACTTGGTCTCTGCCCTCAGGGTGGGCCAAAGCACACATAAGGGTCTGGTCATGTTTACAGCAGGCCCATGGGATGTCAGGCTCTTTTTCCAGAACCAAATGGACTTAAGAGCCCTGGAGGCAATTCTGGACCTTGGCAGAAGCCGGCTGTCAGAGGCAAAGGACACGAACAATGATTTGTTTCTGATAACTGGAGGAAGATCACCTCCATACACAGGTTTACCGTTGTGAGTACATGAAGTACAGTTTATTCTTATATTTTTATTTATTAATTATATTATTTTCAACAGTAGGTTTACAGTTGTGAGTATATGAGGTAGTTTATTCTTGTATTATTAATGATTATTGTATTATTTTCCACAGGAACAACTGTAGCCCTACTTTGCCCCACCCTATCGTTGTCTCGCTGGAGCTTCAGTCACCCGGCAGAAGAGAGGCCTATGATTTAGAGCAGCTGACTGTCTTGCTCAAGGTCACAGGCTAATAAAGGGCAAAGGCAGGGCTGGACTCCAGACTTTCCGACTCCAAGGCCAGTGATCTAGTTTCTGCAGTGTCTCTGCAGGTTCTCTCCTCTCTCCCTGCTGGTCCCCGAGAACCCTGACCACCTTTGGGGTTTTTAGAATGAAGAAAGGCCTCCATTGTTCTGACTCCGATTTCTGACTGAATGGCTCCCCGCTGGCCTAGCCCGAGCCTGCCTCTCGCACAGACACACACAAAGCTCCTTTCAGCGTCTGGGCGGCTGCAGAAGGGAGCACAGAGCCCGCCCCTCCCCACACCCTCATTCTGCGCTCTGCGTCCTGTGCATCCTCGGCCACACCTGGCTGACTTGAGGTAGCTGCTCTCTGCTGATGCCCTCGTCCCTCCCTCACACGCTGTGGGCACGGCCTGGCTTCTCCTCCCGTCTCTTCCTGGGTCATCGCACACAGTTGCGAGCCTGTGCGGCTGCAGCCTGACTTCCTGCCTGTGCTTTCATCAGCTGACACCGTTGGGATGTCCCGCAGGCCAGCAGCGCTCACAATGGTGGCTTTCACCTTGGGGTCCTCAGAGGATCTGTCTCAATGGGGACAGCTTTTCTCTAATATCCTTTGCTCACTGTATTCAAAGGCCAAGACCCTTTAACAGGCACTGCACTGCTGTCTGCCTGTGGGCCTTGTGAGGGCCCCATTTCTCACCATTTCTTGCTTTTCAAACTTCAGAGGAACTTTCAATAAGAGATGATTTCTAAAGAACAGTTGCAACCAAAAAGGAGCTTCTGGGTATAAATCAGGATTTCTCTGAGGGTTTATTATGGGTTGATTGTGCCTCCCCCAAATTCACATGTTGCAGTTCTAGCCACCGGGACTGCAAAATGCGGCTTTATTTGGAAACGGGGTCGCTGCAGATGTAATTAGTTAAGATGAGGTCATACTGGAGCGGGGTGGGCCCAGAATTCAATATGACCGGCATCCTTAGAAAAGGGGGAAATTTAAACACAGAGGCACGCAGGGACGGGGGATGCCATGTGAAGATGAAGGGAGAGAGCCAGGCAAGGCATCTATAAGCCAAGGGACACCAAGATTGTCAGCAAAGCACCAGAAGCTGGGGCAGAGGCATGGGACAGACCACCCTTCCCGTCCTGCAGAAGGAACCACCTGCTCACACCTTGGTTTCAGACTTCTAGCTTCCAGAACTGCGAGGCAATCAATTTCTGTTGTTTAAGCCACCCAGTTTGTGGTACTTTGTTGTGGCAGCCCTAGCAAACGAACCCAGAGCCATCTGACAAAACCTATTAAAATTAAAAAATGCACATGCCCTCTGACCCAGCGATTCTACATCTAAGAATTTACCCTTTAGATGTGCTCTCATGCTCCACAAACACACGTATAATCGTGCTCACCGAGGTATTGCTTAAAAGCAAAAAGCTGGAAATGACCTAAATGACCGTCAGAAGGGCACTAATTAAAAACATCATGCAGCTCTCAAAAAGAAGAAGGTGAAACACTGTTTTGGGCATGAATCACTCATGGAAACCTAGAGGGAATGTGTGATGAGGAGCAGGATATCTGCACAGTCTGCAAGTGTCTTCCCACCGACTGCTTATTGGTTGCGAGGGGAGAAAGAGTAAATCTACAATGAAGAAATCAGACAACACCCTATTATGTGTCTGAGGATGTGACATTTATAACTCATCAAATATTTTATCCAGAGAATGTAATATAACCTGCTTTTAATCATGAGGAAGCGGCAAATAAATTCAAATTGAGGAACATTTCATAAAATAACTGGCCTGTACTCTTAAATATCTCAGCGTCATGAATGACAAAGGCAGACTGAGGGATCCACAGAGACATCACCTGTAGTAGGTGACCCTGGAGTAAACCCTGGTTCAGGGGCCAGGAGGAGGACGAGGAGGCTTCTGTGTAGGACATTATTGAAACGACTGATGAAATTGGAATATGGATCGTAGATTAGATAAAAGCATCTCGTCCACGTTAAATTTCCTGAATGTGATAATGTACGGTGCTTACATGAGAGAATACTCTTGTTCTCAGTAAATACACTCTGAGGTATTGGGGTTCAAGGGGCATAATGTAAGCAACCTACTCCAAAGGGTCCAAACATATACACTGCTAGGTAGATAGGTGAGAATGACAAGCCAATGAGGCAAATGTAAAGCACTAGTTATGAATAAAATGTGGTAACAGAACGATGGAATGACACTCAGCAATAAAAAGGGACGACTGGTATATGCAACAACATGGGTGAACCTCCAAAACATGCTTGAGTGAAGAAGCCAGATGCAAGATTACTAATTATGATACCACTTACATGAAAATTCTAGACAAGGCAACACTATAGAGACAGAAACCAGATCAGTGGTTGCGGGGTCTGGGGTGATGAACTGTCGATGGTCAGGAGGGAATTCTGGGAGTGACCGAGTGTCCAACACCAAGGTGGATTTTACGGCATGTCAATCCACCTCCAGTAAAGCAGGTAAAAATTTGGGAATTTAGGTAAAGCATATACAGGAGTAGTCTGTACTATTCTTATAATTTTTCTGTAAATTAGAAATTATTTCAAAATATTTTTAAAAATAGAATGAGTAGATTGGTATGGGCTGATATGAAATGATTTCCCATAAATATAAAGGTACAAAGCTGTGTATATAGCATGTTTAAAAAACTTAAATATGTATGTAGCATGTCTGAAAAACGTACAGGTAAAACTTCTCTGTGCATATGTGTGCCTGCTAAGAACAGTAGGCGGACGCTGGCTGCTGGCTTTGTCCATAAAGGCCCTGGGACTCTGCCTGCCATTGGGTTGGGTGTTGTCAGTGGCTGCGCTGACACCACGACAGCAGAGCTGAATGGCCCACAAAGTCGAACATTTTACTCTCTGGCTTTTTACAGAAAAGGTTTGCGAATCTCTAGGAAATTGAAGAAATATACTCAGGACAGTAAGTGTTGCCTCAAGGAAATGGAAATTGGGATCTGGGATTTTCATTTTTAATCTTTTTATATTCTCTGAAGTTGTTGTTGTTGTTTTAGTATGTTTTTATTAATCTTTTTAGAGAGAGAGCATGGGAGAGGGATACAGAGATAGAAATATCAATGAGACCCCCACTGGGGATGGAGCTGCAACCTAGGCATGTGCCCTAACCAGGAATTGAACCAGCGACCTCTTGGCTCCTGGGTTGACACTCAACTGCTGAGCCACACCTCCAGGCATTCTCTGAAGTTTTTATACTCTATGGCTTTGATAAAAATAATGTGTAAAAATGATTTATAATTGCCTTTCATTTTAAAGGACCAATGTTGTTGCTCTCAACTCACAGCACGATGCTGCCACCAACACTGGCACTGACCCAGGGGAGTCCCTTTCTTCCTGGTCTCAGACACCAGCCCACCAGCTGGCTTTACCAACGGCCTCCCACTCTTCCTCAGAGGCCGGGGTACCTGGCACAGGTGGCCCCAGGGACACGCTACATACCTGGTCTTGTTTCCCCCAGATGATCTGCGTGGGGGCCTTGATCTTGTCCATGTTCTGGTGGAGGGAGTATCTCGACTTCTCATTGATGATTTCCAAAAACACTTTTTAGAAAAGGAAAACAAAGTGAACAAATGCTGGGCTGTGCCCTGGGCACCCCCGTACAGCATAGGACAGTCATCGGGGCCAAGCCGCCACTTTCTCTCTCGGGGGCTCAAGAAAACACACTCCGAATGTAAGAAATAAAAGCCAGCCACCCATGAAGCTTCTCTTGTCCCAGCTCAAAGCTCAAAGCAGGCTACTCACGCTTCCGGTAGAAGTTGTTATGAGGGATGCGGACGTCGACAAGGCCTTGCAGGATCTAAGGACAAATAATCCACAGTTAGAAGGCAGGAGAAGATTCACATCCTCAGGCTCCTCACGGCGCTGGGACAATGAAGGAAATTAAAGTCCAGACATTCATGGCATTGTCAAGGTTTTCAAGGCCTGGTACCCCGAATTCCCATGATATAGTACAATATGATGTAATTGCTCACTAATATCCAAATGCAGAATAAGGTCTATTTAGAAATTTAAACTATTGTGGATGGTGAGTCTCTTAAACAATAAGGAATTTAACTATTGCCCTAGCCGGTCATCGACCTGTGGACTGAAAGGTTCCGGGTTTGATTGCGGTGAAGGGCGCGTACCTTGGTTGCAGGTTCCCTGGCCCTGGTTGGGGTGCATGCAGGAGGCAACCAATCGATGTGTCTCTCTCTGTCTCTCCCTCTCCCTTCCACTCTCTCTAAAAATCAATGGAAAAATATCCTTGGGTGAGGATTAACAAAAAACAAAAAAAAACAAGAAAAGAAAGGGAGGGAGGGAGGGAGGGAGGGAGGGAGGAAGGAAAGGGAATAAACTATTGGGAAAGTCTGGGAGGGTGCAGAGTCCCTTATTTATTGCTCAACGTTGTCTTGGCCTCCCCTGCTGAGGTCTGTGAAGGCTGCAGCAGCTGTGGATCTCCTGGACCCAGACACTGACTGAGAGGTGCATGGCCAGAAGGAACACAGCCCCCACTTCCCCTGCCTCGGGGCTCTTGAGGTAGGTCCTAGGTTCACATTAGCAGCCACCACTCCTCTCATCTTCCTGGGAATGGTCTGAACCTCTTAAATGCACTCTCAGGAGTCCTATGCATGGATCGAAGTGGGAAAATCAGCCATAACTGCTCTGGACTAAACCAACTCCTGGAACATGACTAGAACCTAACAGGACCAGAGTGCAAGTCCAGAGGTGAGCCAATGGCAAGCTGTCAACACACTGTGCTCAGTGTCAGACATTTTCTTTGCTCTATCTATCTGCACCCACGCATCATATCCTTCGGGCATCCACCCGTCCATCCTCCACCTCTGCTCCACCTACCCATCCATCCACCCGTCCTGCATCTCTGAATCATATGTGCATATGTCTACTGATGCATCCACCTGCTTGTATCCACCAATCCATCTACTCTCCATCCTGCATTCCTAGACATCCTCCCACCCAGCCAATCAAGCATCCAGCCATCCACCTATCCTGCATCCTAAATCATCTATGCATGTGAATACACCATTTCATGAATCCATCTATCATGCATCTACCCACACCTCCATGCTCCATTCCCGCGTTATCCAGGCATCCTTGCATCCACTGATTCATTCAATCTACACCTAAGACCTATTTCATGCAAGTATTGTGCCAAAAGCTGAGGATAGAGCAGCAAATTAAGACAAAGTCCCTGATCTTACAGAGTTTAGACTGCAAGACACAAACAGACAGACAGACAGACAGACAGTCATAACACTGGTGCTTGGTTGCTCCTTCTCTCCTACGAGGGGAAAACTTTGGAACTGCCATTTATTTTCTCCTGGCATTTTCATCTCCCTGACAACTCAAAACTTGGAATTTTCTAAAACTGTTTGGCCACTCTATTGGGGGAAGAGATCGGTGCCTGGAGGGGATCAGCACAGCTTCACAACTGAAAAGGATTCAGGGCCCGACTGGTGTGGCTCAGGGGTTGAGTGTCGACCTATGAACCAGGAGGTCACGGTTTGATTCCCGGTCAGGGCACATGCCCCAGGTGGCAGGCTTGATCCCCAGTAGGGGGCGTGCAGGAGGCAGCTGATCAATATTTCTCATCATTGATGTTTCTATCTCTCTCTCCCTCTCCCTTCCTCTTTGAAATCAATAAAAATATATTTTTTTTAAAAAAGGATTTTCAGGAATAAAATATAGGACAGAGTCTGGGTGCTTCCTCAGAGACAGGATACACCCAATAACTGAGTCATGCTCACAACCTCTGAATAGAGCCCATTCTCTCACCTCCTACGAGGACCCATCCACCCTGAGGCAGGGTCCAGCTCTTACAACAGGGAGATCATCTGCTGTTATGAAGCCTCCGCCCTGGACTCTCCTCTCTTGGTTTTCTATTCTTTCCTCAGATGACTCCATGCAGACACAGGTCCTTTAATATAATCATCGGCTGTGGCTCTAATTGTCTAGCTCCAAACAGACTTCCCTCAGCAACACCTGCCTGCTTGACATCTGCGCTTGGAGGCCTCACAGGCAGCTTGAACTTAAGGCACCCAAAATGGAGCTGTTAGCTTGTCCCCTAAACGCACCCTCCCTCTCCTTCCATTATTCAGGAAATGCTGCCTTTATCCAACTCAACTACCGGAAGTCACCTGTGACTCCTCACTTTCCCTCATCGTCCACATCCAATTTGCTGGTAAGTCCTTGTTCTTCCTCCCAAAGCATTTCAGATCTCCTGTCTCCACTGCTGCCACCCTCGTCCACACCGCCATCATCTTTGAGCCACATCAGCACCCTCGTGGCTTTCTCTGCTTCTGTCTGCACCCCCTACAATCCTTCAGGGGTTCTCCGATCCTACTTAGAGAAACCCAGACTCCTTCCCATAACCCATCCAGTGCTACATGATCTAGCCCAGTGGTTCTCAAAGTGGATTTGGGGAGTCCATGAGGTTAAACTATTTTCATAATAATACTACATGTTATTTGCCTTTTTCGCTTTGACTTCCTCAAAAGCAGACTGATTTTCAGGGCCTACAGAACAAGGGACAATGTCACTCTGGTGGCTAATGAAAGGAGTGCATCTATATTCTTGTGTTTTAAGTTTTTATGACTTTTAATTTCTAACATGGTAAATATCAACAGTTATAACTTTCACCAACGAACACTCTTTGGTATTCTCAATCATTTCTGAAAGTATAAAGTGGTCCTGAGATTTTTCAAAAATTGAGAATCTCTGGTTGAGCCCCTGCCTCCCTTTCCAACCTCATCCATCACATTCTCTCCCTCATCCTTGGGGCTCCGGTCACCCAGGGCCCCTTTTAGTGTCTTGAACTTGCCTATATTTTTTCTAACTCTGAACGTGCTATTCCTTCAAAGAGGCTTATCCAATCTTCTGCTGCCTCCCTGTTTTTATTCACGGCACCATCTTCATTTCCCCTAGAAAACTTACTATAATTTTTAAGAATCTGTCGACTTGTTGATTGTCTGCCTCCCCACTAGCCAGTGTCCACCCAGGAACCTCTTCTGTCTTATTCATTCGCCACAGTGCCCCAGCACAGTGCCTGACACATCACGGCCACGGTACGGACGCTGAGTGAACAGACAGGTAAGTGCAGGGAGGAGGGTGCGTGAAGGGAGCTGTGCTGGCCAGTGCAGCCCTGGCAGGAGGCAGGCGCCGTGCTGCTGCTGAGGTCCCATACCTGCTGGGGCACCTTGAAGCGGACGTAGGAGCAGAGCTGCAGCATCTCGCTCATCTCCTCCGGGGTGGACGGGATCAGCGGGATCTTCTCTACGGCGGCCGATTCCTGCAGTTCTCTGAGCCGTCGTACGAACTGATTATCAGTTGGGTATTGCAGGCCTGGGGGATTCAAACCAAAACAGCTTGGCCATTCATCTACCTTCTTACCAACCCCCATCTTAGAAAGGGAACTTCTAGTATCAGCTAATATGTTTCAGGGGTGTTTCACCGGATTCCTTTTTAATGGGTTCTGCCATCCTGGCTCAAGGTCAAAAGCACATTCTGAAGAGAAACAGAAAAAAAAATCCCTCCAGATACTTTACAGACGGGTGACCAGCAGCATGGGGAGCCCATAAGAAAACCAAAGCTCAGCCCCTCCCTAAGTCTCCTGAATCAGAGCTGTCTGTTAGCAGCTGTCCGGAGACTTATCTGTACGATAGAGTTAAGAAGCATTAGCCTGGAAGACAGCTCGCCTGAGCCCCTTTCACATCTGTGCTGTTGAGAGGAGATATCACGAAATGCATGATGTTAAGAAAACGGAGAATTGAAGGAACTGACCACTCCTCCCTTTGTCCTGGACCCACGTAATAATCTCTTATTTGGGGTCAATACACAAAACAGTGAGAGCAAGTCCCCCTCTGAGCCATCCCCCATGTGGGGGCAGCGGCTGCCCTCTGTACAGTCTCCCTTCCTCCAGGAGAGCACCAGGTGCCATCGTGAGACTGAAAAGCTTTGAGATGGCTCTGGCTGGTTTTGCTCAGTGGTTAGACCGTCACGGGTTCGATTCCTGGTCTAGGGCATGCATCTCGTTTGCAGGTTTCCCAGCCCCAGTAGGGGCACATGCGGGAGGCAATCAATTGTTGTATCTCACGTCGATGTTTCTCTCTCTGCCCTTCCTCCCACTCTCTCTAGAAATAAATGGAAAAAATACCCTCCAGTGAGGATTTGAAAAAGAAAGCTTGGAGACGGACCATTACTTCCTGCCCCCTGGAGCATGGCACAGGAGAGTTTACACAAACTGATGTACACAGGAGGGCAAAGGTAATTTCCACCTCCAACAATGAGCATATCTCTGGGTGTTTAACTTAGCTACAGAACTGGATTTTATTTATTTTAGTTTTTTTCTATTTGAAGAACTAGATTTTGGAAAGGCAATGGCGTTGATACTAAGCTGCAGAAATCCACACTTTACACATCTCCTACATTCAGTAGCTCCTTTAAATCCATTATGGGCACCGACTGGCTTTCGCAATGCCATGAGGGCAGATTGCATGATCTATTTCCTTCCACTTTAAAAATAATCCAGACTAAATGCCATGTGGTATCTTGCATTGGGTCCTGGAATAGAAAAAGGACACGAGTGGAAAAACGAATGAAATCCAGATAAAGCCTGGAGTTTAGTTAACAGCAATGCACCAATGCTGGTTTTTTAGTGTTGACACATTTACTGTGGTAATGTGAGCTGTTAACAATGGGGAGGAAAACTGGATGAAGGGTAGATGGAACTCTGTACTATCTTTTGCAACACTTCTGCAAACGTAAAAAAATTATTTCAAAGTAAAAAAAGTTTATCTTTCCATTTTCACATACAAACAGTTTTAAATTTTCAATGGAAACTCAGGCATACAACTCTTTGAGCAAATGAACATACACTCGAAAAAGCCAGTTAGATCTGACCTCCCATAACCGATTTAAAATCTAATAACCTTCCATAGGAGCAGCTTCTCCAATTCTCAAACTTTATTATTAAAAGAACAAATGATTCCAGACATGGCGCTTGGGAAGAGGAGGAGAGAAAACCCATTGGGAGCTTGACTTCAATTACAATGTCCTCACCAGACCTGAAACTATTTACTTTCAGAGTGACTGAAAGGTTTTAAAGGTTCGTTTAGTTACGTTTTAGTGAGGTATACAGGTTTGGCTCCAGGCTGGGTTCTAGTGGGAAAAGGGGGTCGTGGACATGAGTCACATACTGGAGACAGTGAACACAAACTGACTTCCAAAAAAGCTGCAGCTTGGTTCTGCAGCCAGACAGCCTGGGACCGGTTCCTATGCTGGCTCGGGCACTTATATAACTTCTTTGTACCTCAATGTTCCTACTAATAAAATGAGCACACTATCTTGATCTGGAAATAACTACATATGTAGAAGGTTACTGAGATGTACACTTAAAATCTGGGCAATTTACATCTTACTCCAATGAAGTACCAGAGAGACAGGAAGCAAGACAAGGAAAAAGAGAAAAATTAATATTTTTCTGACATATTATAAATCCAAGTTCAAAGACTAAGGTAAGGATAATGAATTCTAAAAATCCAACTTCAGATCATAATTTCTGGGGACATGTTACAGCTCAAGTTGACATGTATACAAGTAAGAACAAAGAAACTAAAGTTTGTTGATTTTTTAAAAAGATCTTGTAATGAATAAAGATCTCTGAGTTTTTGGCAAAAAAGAGGAGAGACGTAATAATAGTACCAACACTTCATAAAGTCACAGTGATGGCAACAATGAACTCTATATAAACAGCTTAGCTCAAAAGAGCTCAATAAATGTTGGATAGTAATATTATTATATTTCAACTAGAGGCCTGGTGCACGAATTCATGCACAGGTGGGGTCTGCTGACCTGCCCCGATCAGGGCCGATTGGATTGGGCCAGCGCATGGGGGGGGAGACACATGGGAGGTTGGCTGGCTGGCCCCACCCCCTGGTCCAATGCCCGGTCCAGGAGACAATTTGCATATTAGCCTTTTATTATATAGGATGTATTTACGTGCTGTAAAGTATGATACACATTTTAATTAACCACCAAATTCTTTGTGGAATAAGGCTGGCTCTATAATTTAAAAGTCAGTGTGGTTATGATTATGGTTTTGTTTTGTTTTGTTAATCCTCACCCAAGGATATTTTTCCCACTGATTTTTAGAGAGAGTGGAAGGGAAGAGGCACAGAGAGAGAAACATTGTTGAGAGAGAAACATTGTTGTGAGAGACACATCGATTAGTTGCCTCCCACACATGGGATCAAGCCTGCAACCAGGTACATACCCTTCCCCAGAATTGAACCCAGGATCCTTTAATCCACAGCCCAACACTCTATCCACTGAGCCAAACCAGCTAAGGCATGATTATGATGTGTGTTTTTTAATCCTCACCAAAGGATATGTTTATTGATTCTAGAGAGAGGAAGGGGAGAGAGAGAGAGAGAAACATGGATATGAGAGAGAAACATCGACTGGTTGCCTCTTGTAAGTGCCCCAACTGAGAAAGAACCTGAAACCTAGGTATGTGCCCTGACTAGGAATCGAATCCGTGACCTTTGGGTGTATGGACGATGCCCCAACCAACTGAGCCAGAGCAGCCAGGGCTAGGATTATGGTTAGACAATTAGTGTTTGGTTAGTTTTCACGAAAGCGTTGCATATCTCTGAAGGACACATCAAAAGATGATTCTAAAAGCCAGTCACAGCAGATACTGCCACTTGGTCCTTCGGAGATGCAGACCCTTCAGTGCTCCCCTCGCTCGGGGGGACATTCTAGCCTGGAAACTCACCAGCGGGGCACACGAGGGTCAGGCTGCCGATATCCGACGGGTAGTAAGCAGCGTACACGCCGGCCACATTGCCGCCCATGGAGGTGCCCATCAGGTGGAACGGTTTTTTGTTCAGCTTGAGGCATTCCACAAACTGGGAAGGAAAATGAGAAGGGGGGTTGGTTATGCAGCTGTAGACAGTGGCACTCGTGATCGCAGAGCAAACAACCTCCACTGCCTCTGGGGACAAACGAAAAGCATATTGATGAAAGGGGGGCCGGAACCTCTCCTGGACCCGTTATCCAGATGGACCCCGAGGCAGGCAGGCACTCACCTTTACCTGGCACAAGTGACTGAGGGGTCATTTCTGAGTATAAAACCAACAAAGATTCTCCTAATTCTGAGTCAGCAAACTTTTCTATAAAGGTCCTGAGAGTAAATATTTTCTGCTTTGTGGGCCATCTGATTTCAGTAGCAACTACTTAGCTCTTTTGTTGTAGCACAAAAGCAACTAAGACAATACGTACATGAATGAACATGGATGTGCTCCAATAAAATTCGCTTACAAAAATAGGCAGCAGGCCACATATAGCCCATGGGCCATGGTTTGCTGACTCTTGCCCTAATTTAAAGTCCTTCTCATCCTTCCAACCATCCATTCATATAACTATCCACCCATCCATCTATCTATTCAACCATCCAACCAACCACCACTGATGCTTTAGATAACTGTTTATCTTAAAAAATATTAATTGGGTATCTGTTATGTACAAGGAAGTATGGTCAGCTGCAGAAGATACAGCAAAGAGCCAAAGAGACAAGGTTCCTGACCTCATCAAAGTACATAGTTTAAAGGGGGAGGGGGATACATACACACATTAAATAAACATCCTTATCTGGGGGAAATACTAATATCAATGTAAAACGGTGGATTACTGAATTCTGAAATGGTCCACGAGCCCCAGGACCTTGAAAGCCCAGCCAGAGGGGGGCTGAAGATAGATGCTGAAGCAGAACGAAATGCAAAGAGCATCCTCCCCATCTTCCCCAGCGAGGCAGAAGGGCTTTTGCGGTCATCACATAGTTGGTAAGCAGAAACACAGACTCCAGGGAAATGGTCTTGAGAAACACTAAACTTCCTCAAAAAGCCAAGAAAATGCTCAGATTGTCATATTTCTTCATAACAATTGCAACAGGCCGAGAGGAGAATCGTCTGCAATAAGCCCTGGCCCTCCACAGCCGGCCAAGGAGACCACTGGGGTGCCACTTGGTGTGCAGTCACTTAACAGAATGCACTGGAGCCTCGTTCCGAGTCAGTACTGCTCGCCAGGCGTAGGCATGCAGTGGAGGGCAAGACCCACACTCTTGGCAATTGTTGGTGGAGCCCTGCTTACCTGGTGTATCCTCTTGACTTGCCCGTCTATGGACAGGTCATCCAGGGGAGAGCGGGTGGTACCCTCATGTCCTGGCATGTCCACGCAGATCAAATGCAGGTTCTTTGGAAGGAACTGAGGACACACAGGCCCAGAGAGTCAGTATGTGGCATGCAGACAATGTCGGCCCACTTTTCTGAGAAGGCTGCACCTACTTACCAAGTAACCTAGATAGCCAACCCTGGGGACATATGGTCCTGGGCCACTCGGAGTTTTACCCTAGTAACATCTGATGGGAATAAGCACTGCCAGGCGCCTCCTAGGGAGCAGAGGCCCGGAGACTAATACATACATAAGTGAAGGGAACTCGGAGGATGACTGGAAAAGGGGGACAGAGGTGAAGGCAGCACGCCTGCATCTCTCAGTTTTGACACCAGCTGACAGGTACTGCCTCCACCTCCCCCCCCGCCCCCCTCCCCCGCCCCTTCCACACTTACTCCAGTCGTTCAGCCACTGACTGGGAGCTAGAGGGTTGGTTTTGTTCTGCTAGAGCCCTGGCCAGCCCTGGAGCCCACAGGAGCAAGGCTTTCTTTAAGAACCATGTCTGATCACCCCGATTCTAGTTTCTTCCATTTAAATATGTGCCGCTTTCCACCAGGAAACGGAGAAACATGGGTTATCAATAAACAAATACCCGACTACATGAAAGATGCTTATCTGAATTGGGGACAGGAAGGGAGAGGGTCAGGAAGGCATGAGGATGAGTGTCCTCACAGTGGAACTTGGAAATAAAAACACAAGTAACTAGAGGGTGTGTGGCCTTTTCACTCCTGGTGTGGGTCATCCTTGAGGTAGTCGGGTACAGTCCTGCTTGAGGTGGGAGCCTGGGTGCTTCCCTCCCAAGACCTCCCCAGCCCCAACCTCCACCAGCTGGTCACGCCTGCCAAGTGAAGCAGGTTGCCACACAGGACAGAAAGTGAGCGATCTGGAGAACTATCCCAGGGAGTTGCCAAATCAAGATCATTTCTCTAAGTAGGTGAGGAAGAAAGGAAGAACAGAAAGTGGGGGGGGGGGGGGCAGGATGGAGGAGGGAGGGAGGAGGATGAGGAGGCATCAGGGAGAAATCGGGGGAGGAAGAGGAGACACGTGGAGTCTAAAAGAACAATGATTTTTTCAAAGCCTGATCTTGCCAGTGAGAGTTCTGAGATGAAGCTGCCAGAAACCTTTCCTAGGAACTACTCATGAGGTGAAATGATTTCTAAGGCACAGATTTTACAAACAACATTCAACTCAATGCATTTTGTCTGATAAAAGGATGTGAATCATGTATCACACTAGTGTTAAGATATCTGAGCCACGGTTCTGGGTTCCCTTTGCTCCCTCCCATCGCTGGGGACGGCATGTCCGAGGGGAAACCCATTTCCCGGCCACACCTTGACCAAGTGGAAACCCGTTCCCGGCCGCACCTTGACCAAGCTGAGCCACATGTCCTTGTGGGCGGAGAAGCCGTGGAGCAGGAGGACGGACGGTCTGTGCCCAGGCCTGCCGCGGAAGGAGTAACAGAACTGATAGTCTTCATGCTGAACATAGCGGACCTGCATGCCCAAGGCCCGCCGCCAGTACCTGGAAGGAAACACACAGGCCACGCCAAATCAGCACGCTCCAGAGCCGTGGCCGTGGGAGGGGCACAGGTCCTCGCGACAGGCCCACCTCGAGGTCAGACCAACACTTCTCCAGAAAGTACCTCAAATGAATATGGTGGTAGGTATGTCACCACATAATCACTCTAAACCAGGAAGGGGAGGAGGGGTATTTCTTAGGAAGCATGACACGAAATAACCTGTTTTGAACACATATTCCTAGCAGTTGAGTGTCAGTGCGAAGGAGCAGTCGGCAGTGGGATCTCCCTGGGTGTCTGACTAGCCCTCACTCTGCCTGGATTGTTTGAGCTTCTGCAGAATTGGAAATGGCTGGTGGTAAGACTGGGAAGGACGCCGAAAAGGCCACGACCAAGCTGGTTTCCTCGAGCCGAGTCGGCTAGCAGTCTGGTGGGCCATATTCACCGACACCTGGAATCTGAAGCGAGCAGCCATGGACATGTGGGCAAGACTGCCACTGTGTGCAGCACAGACATCCTGGAGTAAGTACAGCACTTCCCTGCAGAGGTCCTTTAATTGACAGGAAAAGCATCAAAAACTTCAAGGTAGTGTCTCTTGCAACGTGCTCTTCATGGAGATGAAGAATTGGACTCTCGCCCGGCTGGTGCGGATCAGTGGTCGAGCATTGACTTATGAACCAGGAGGTCACGGTTTGATTCCTGGTCAGGGTACGTGCCCAGATTGCGGGCTCCAACCCCACTTGGGGGCGTGCAGGAGGCAGTCTATCAATAATTCTCTCTCATCATTGATGTTTCTATCTCTCTCTCCTTCTCTCTTCCTCTCTGACATCAATACACACAAAAAAAGAAGTGGACTCTCATCAAGGCTGCAGTTGCTGGTGGTGGTATCATTCACACACCCACAAATCTCTGGGAAGAAGGAACACCAGACAATTGTCTCCAGGAGGCCTGCCTTTCTTCTGATCTCGGGACTAACGACTCTAACAGCTGTCCAGTGCTGGCGATTCTCTGTAAAAAACACAAACTTCCCCATTTGTAAATCTAGTTGAACAAGTTGGAGATTTAATTAGCGTTCCAACCAACCTAATTTCCTTCATTTGAGTCTTAGCCATAAAGTGTTACTGTAGCTTTAAAGTTGGTAAGGATTCTGAAGTAGTGGATTTTGATGGAGTTGACAGTTTTTTAAAAACTCTTTGGATTTTAATTGTGATGCAGAAGTTATAACAAACATTTGGTTTTGTACAGACATTATTTCCACTCCAGCAGATAAGCTCAGTAAAGGTCACAATTCTAACTCTCCCCAGAAAATAAGAACATATTTTTTATACAGATTTTGAGAGTGAGAACTTTTTTTTTTTTTTAAGAACTATCTGCAGTAGTCCTCTGAGTTTATTCGCTACAACATATGGCAGCTGGTTGAAAGCTCAGCTTCTGTTCGTTACATAAGACTTGGCAGTGCTGGAGTTGGGCCTGAAATTGATTTCAATACGAAATTACCATCTAAACACACTGAACTTTCTGCATGAAGAATCTCTCCAAGATGAGAGGCAATTAATTCAATCAGAGATTCACTTTGTGGTGTACTTTGCACCAAAGAGGTAGCCAAGTCTTGCAAAAGCAAATAGCCCAAGTTGACTGGTTTTAACCCTTTATGTAAAAGAAGGGGAGGGAAGATGAGAACATAAATTCATATTTATTTCGAGCTGCATCCCAAAAGCATAGGAACAAAAACAAGACACTACTAAGGTGAGCATCTGGAGTAGAGATGGGCAATACAGTGAGAAGTAGATGGAGAGGCAACAGAGGTGAGAAGGAGCCTTATCACTTTCTTTTTACTACTTTTGCAAATGAATGTATTGCCTATTCAAAACATTAAAAATAGAATGAAATTGGCTAGTTTAAAGCTCTTCTTATAACAAAGCAAGCTTATTTCAAAATTCTAAATCGTGCACCACAATACAAATTTGTTCGTTCATTCATATGCCACCTCATTCATTTATTGACTATATGATCTTGAATCTCATCTATCTATAATGAGGGGGAAATGTCTCATTCTACTGCGGATATGGTAAAGATTAAATGAGATAATCCATATACAAAGTTTTGTTTGATGCTCAATATATGCTAAGTATTCAATAAATGGTAGTAATTAGTATTAAATAAAAAAGATTATATTTTTGTAAATATATCACTTGCCAAAACTCAAGGGGAAAATTTGCAACATATATGAGGGCCACATATTCATTTAACATATAAAAAGCTTACAAAATGATAAGACCCAGGGCTAAGACCCCAATTCAACAATGAACAAAATAAACAAAAATACTATTCAAAGTAGAAGAGAATTAAGGACTAACAAATATAGGAAACATGTTCAATTTCACTAATACCTAAAGAAATGAATAGTACAACAAGACATACCTTTTTAATAATCTAAATTAGAAAAATGCCTTTAAAATAAAAAACAGCTCTGGCCAGTGTGGCTCAGTTGTCCTGTGCACCGAAAGTTTCAAGTTTAATTCCTTGTCAGGACATATGCCTAGGGTTTGATCCCTAGTAGGGGACATGTTTCTCTTGTACATTGATCTCTCTCTCTCTCTCTCTCTCTCTCTCTCTCTCTCGTCCTTCCCCTCTCTCTAAAACCAGTAAAACATATCTTAGTTGAGGATTAAAAAAACACCCAATTATATGTTCAACCTTTCTAGGAAGCAGCCTGGAATTAAGCATCAGGGGTCTGTAAAAACCTCATGCCTTTTGACCCAGTAATTATACTTCCAGGAATAATCTGTTCCAAGGAAATAAGCAGAAATCTTAAAAAAAAAAATTCTAAAGATGTCCGACAGTGCTATTTCAATTAGAAAAAAAAAATCTGCACTAATCTTTATGCCCATAAACAGAAAATTTATTACATAAATTACAATGTATCCAGATGATGTAATATGTTGCTGTTTAAAAAAAAATGAGGTCTTCAAAGACTAATAACAGGAAAATGTTTATGACATATATCAAATGGAAACATAGGACTCAATATTTTTATACTATTGATTCCAATTCTGTTAAAAAAATTTAAACTGTATACAGATGAAGTGGGGAAACAGGTGGTGAGAAAAAAAGAGGCGTTGAAGAAAATGACTTGGGGGTGACGGATAATTTATATTTTCTGTTACCTTTTTATAATCTTCCACTCCTCTATAACTCTAACACTAAGAGGAGTATGAGATCAAGGGAGAGCTGGAAGGACCTTGCAGAAATGGTGATGTTGCTCAGACATCTGGATACTCAACACCTATTGGTTCAGCGGTAGACAACGCAGCAAGGTGTGCACAGCACAGACAGGGCATGGGAAGCCAAGCATGACAGATCCTGAGTGAAGGGAGATGGGGCTGGAAGGGCAGCCTGGGAGCTGGGCTCAGGGCGCGAGGAACCCTCCATTACCAGGTGGGTACTAGTCCAGGTATCTCATTTAATTGCTACATCCCTGGAAAACTTCACCTAGGCTTTGGAAATAGGAGCTTGAGAACCACTATTTTCAGTAACTTCAAATGCTCCTCTCAATGGAAGAGTAGGAAGAAGACTCCTTAAGCTACCAGGTCAGTTAAAAATTATGAAAGGAAAACAAACAAACCCAACTTTCTTTAGTTTAAGGATAACAGAGAATAAATTAGCTCTAAATGATAAACTTTACAAAGGCAGAACTCAGAAATAACTGCAAGTGGCCTGGCCGGTGTGGCTCAGTGGTTGAGCATTGACCTATGAACCAGGAGGTCAGGGTCGATTCCTGGTCAGGGCACATGCCCGGGTTGCGGGCTCGATCCCCAGTGTGGGGTGCGCAGGAAGCAGCCAATCAATCACTGATGTTTCTATCTCTCTCTCCCACTTCCTTCCTCTCTGAAATCAATAAAAATATATTTTAAAAAATAACTTCAAGCGTACAGGACAGAAACAAAGGGAAGAATTACACTGGAATAAACAAATGTCTCAGGAACAAGATCTTTCCCAGATGAACAATCTTCGTACAAAAGCCGAACTGCTCCTGTTTCAGGGACAGACGTCACTGAAGCCCTTCAAAAGCAGCCTCCATGGGGTTCCTTCTTTGAGAAAGGCGCCCAGGGTCTGGACCTTTATTTCACGAGTGCTGCCTTCTCTAGTTTACAGGATCCTCTGAAGACAAGTATTTCTACAGTACATTTCTTTTTTTATTATTGTGGTAAAATATAGATAACATACAATTTACCATCCTAACCATTTTAAGTGTACAATTCAATGCATTAAGGACATGCACAATATTGTACATCAACCATCACAACCATCCATTTACAGAATTTCCTGTCATCCCAAAGAGGAATTCTGTATCCTTTAAACCAGTGGTTCTCAACCTTCCTAATGCCACGACCCTTTAATACAGTTCCTCATGTTGTGGTGACCCCCAATTTCATAGTTACAAATTGAACATAATTAAAGCATAGTGATGAATCACAAAAACAATATGTAATTATATATGTGTTTTCCCATGGTCTTAGGCGACCCCTGTGAAAGGGTCGTTCGACCCCCAAAGGGGTTGCGACCCACAGGTTGAGAACCACTGCTTTAAACAAAAACTCCACATTCCTGCCCTGGCCGATTTGGCTCAGTGGATAGAGCGTTGGCCTGTAGACTGAAGGGTCCCAGGTTCGATTCTGGTCAAGGGCACATGCCTGGGTTGTGGGCTCGATCCCCAGTGTGGGGTGTGCAGAAGGCAGCCAATTGATGATTCTCTCTCATCATTGATATTTCTATCTCTCTCTCCCTCTCTCTCTGAAATCAATAAAAATATGTTTAAAAAAAATTAAAAACAAAACAAAAACTCCACATTCCTTCCTGTCCTTAAGCCCCTGGTCATCTCTATTCTACTTTCTGTGTCTGAGTCTGCCCAGTCTAGGTATCTCACTCATATAAGTAGAATCATATAATCTTTGTCATTTTATGCCTGGCGTACTTCACTTAGCATGATGTTTTCAAATTAGCCACAGTATAGAATGTGTCAGTACTTTATTCCTTTTTAAGGTGAAATAATACTCCATTCTATGGATATGCCACATGTATTTATCCATTCATCAGTTGATGGACATGGGTTGTTTCTACCTTTTGGCGACTGTGAATAATGCCCATGAAAATTCACAAGCTTTTGTGTGGACATGCTTTCAGATCTCGTGGGTAAATACCTAGGAGTGGAATTGCAGGGCCATTTAATAGCTTTAAAAAAAAAGAACAAAAATCAACAACAACAAAAAAATCTTTTGAGGACCCACCAGACTTTTCCAATGCACCATGTTGCATTCCCACTAAGAGTATATGAGGGGTCCAATTTCTCCACATCCTTCATTGTTATTTTTTAGAGAAACTTTTACCTAAAGTACAAGTCATACAGAAAAATGCACAGATTGTAAGTGTGCCCGGAGCGTGGCCACTCGTTTCCACAGGGATGTGGGCTGTGGCTGCTCCCGCAGGTGGCACCAAACGCTTCGCCGTGAGCCACCAGAGCCACCACCGGAGGTGCCGTGGCCACAACAGAGGGCATCTGACTCTATAAGGCCCTCCCGGCGACCCAAGGAACCTGGGGGCTGCGGACGGTGTGGCACAGAGCTGGCTTCGCACGGGTGCGGGCAATTAGCCTTCGTGTAATCACACCTCTGCTTGCAGCCGTAGCCATGGTGACGGGCCACAGCACCGAATTGTATTTTCCATTTCAATTTGATTTGTTTAAGAAAAATAGCATTTGTGTGTGGAGTCCACGGAGCCTCTGCAGGGCACGTGGGGCACACGCTCTGGCCTCTCCATGTCAGGCTACACGGGATCCTGGGCCCAAAGCACGCCGGCTGCTAGGGCTGCAAGGACGATGGCATTTCAACAGCTGGCGTCTCAGCTTCGTCAGCGCAGAGGTGGGTCCTGGGTGAGCCTCTGAAAGGGTCACCACCTCCCAAGAGGGAGGGAGTAAAAAAATAAATAAAAAAGCTCCCTCCTGTTCAAGCAGCTTCTTTTCAAGGGTCAGAGCCTGGCTGGCAGGTGGAAAATTCCACACTCCAATGAAACAAAAGGGAGCCAGAAAGGAGGGCAGATACAGGGCACATGCCAACCCCTGCACTCCTCTCTGTGTGCACAAAAGGCAGTTCTAACTCCCAGAAGCCCCGGTGAAATCTCAGGGCGCTTCCCGATGGAACCGGGAGGAACCTGGCCTATCTCGGTATTTCCTTCACCAGGGGACGCACACCACGCGGTGGGAACGGTGCTTTCATTTGGTAAATGGACTGTGGCTTGGAAAGTCCCTGAAGCACATCTCGGGAAAGCTACTCCCTTCTCAACAGCTGAGCTTCTGATTCCCTGGAGGAGAACGGCTCTGCTGGGGCTGCGCGTCTTTCACACCCGCTTAGACTTTCACCAGAGAGAAAGGAGGCACCGCCTTCGGGGGCAGCAGTCTGTAGGCCGGCCGTGTTGAATGGTATTCTGCTTATTTTTACTGTCTTATATTAATTGACTAGGGAAGGCAAGCTTTCCACTTAAGGAGGTGATATTTATACTGGTATTGCTCTTAAACTGATTTAACCTACAGAAGTGACTTACTCTAAAGAGAATGTCAAGGCAGAGGGGGTAGTGTGCCGATAGGGCAAGCAACCACGAAGGCGGTACGAGAATGACATGATTGGAAACGTCTTTTTCTTTCTGCCACGTTAGGAATGAACACTTCTAGCACAAATCTGAAGCCATTCTGTCCCACCCACATGCCTTCTCCAGGTCCTGCTCTTCCTAATTCATTTATCAGATCACATCACCGCACCTGTCAGAAACCACTGGATCGGAACCCAAGGACCGAGAACCTGCCATCGGGATCCCCACCAATGCGCACAATCCTTGCTTAAAGAATCAGTGACTTTGGGAGTGAGGGTGGCCTCCTGGGCAGAGATGCCATCAGAAGCCCGAAAGAAGTTACTTGGCAGGAAGCTACCACCAATCATTCCGGAACACTCCCAACATTCAAAGCAGGACATCCTTCAGCTTTTCTATATGCTTGAAATGTTTCATGGTACAATGCTGAACAACCAAAAGGACAAGCAGAGAAGATGACACTGTTTTGGTTCCCCTGAGGACTTCAATTACAGAGTTAACTCACCAGTAATAGATTCTTATCAGCGCCGAAGGCCACAGAAGAAAGGAGGCCACAAATGCCAGGATGGGGATGGCCAGCGTCCCGCCCGCGATCACAAACATGTTGACCACGTCAAGGTCCATCCTGCTCTTCAAGGCCGGCTGGTGCCTGCGGGGCTGAGAGAGTGACGGGAGTGAAACTCTGTCGCGAGAGAAGGGGGATGAAGCAGAGGGGAAAAGAGAAGTGAAGGACCCAGAATGAGGACAAGGATGAGGAGGAAGCAAAGGCAGGTAATGGCTTAAAAAAACTCAACAGGCATGACCTCTCCATGTAATGAAGGATCCCCGAGAGGATCCGAATGGTATTTTAAGCTGTAAAGAAAACGCTTAGGACTGCCGGGGAAATCTAAGTAAGGACTGAATAGTAGATAATATTATTGTGTTGGTGATACAGTTCTGGAGTGTGAGGTGAAATTGTGGTTATCTTTGCACGTAGGAGAATGTCCTTGTTCTTAGGCGATGTATGCTGAAGTATGAAGGGAACAAGCATAGTGATATCTACTACTCACTCTTAAAAGTTGAGGAGAAAAATATATAATGTGTGTGCATGTCGGTGGGGAGAGAAATAAAGCAAATATGTTGAAATGTTAACCATTGGTGAATCCAGGTGAAGGTTACGTGGTAACCTTCAACTTTTCTATAGGTTTAAAAATGTCTATAGCAATTATTAAAAATTAAGTTACGGAGGACAGAGGACCTTAAAGGAATGAAAAAATATACGTGTACACTTTTCCAGCTAACTTAAGTCATCGGTCTACTACATGAGAATTTCCATGTAATCATCGCTTTTGTCTTTTCCTACTCTGGTGACTTTTGAAACGTGTCCAAAATCATGCCAGCAATTAAAGAGTAGGATGTGGCTTGCCCCAACAAGAATCTTGTATCCCAGAACATAAAACAGTACCTGGCAAGTATCTGTTGCTTGATAATGCTCATTGCCTGAATAGATCGAAAAGGAAAAATGCACTCACTTTGCATATCTGCTGTGTGAAGTGAGGCACTTCAATGTTAAAGACAAGGCAGCACTCGGTAAAGCCAGCTGATGTCAGGAAAACCAGCTGGCCATCATGGCACCCGGGAGAGTAACACATGCTCACATCCCAGGCTGGAGCCTGCTCCGGCCTCCTCCTGTTAATATCCAGGCTGTGCATTCCAGGCCTTTATCTCTGAACACAGGGACAAAGGTTCCTTGGGTAGAGGATACGGGGCATCTCATGCTCCCAAGTTTAGTCTGGGGCGAGCGGTAGGGCATAACATGTCACAAATGTTTTTTCATGTTCTCAGACTTTAGAGACTGGGGAACCCGAGTTCCAATACCTTAATCTTAGGGTACAAAGCAAAATTCCAAGAATAAATAGAATATAAACACTTTCAAAGATACAAGAGCGATGACCTTCATCTGTTAACTACTGTATGCCAGACCCAGTGCAGGCAGTTCATATATACATCCTCTTATTCCATCCCTCCCCACATTATAAGGTAGGAAGCTTTTCTCCCGTCTTAAAGAAGTTGACAAGTGCCCCCACGGTCATCCTGCAGGTACATGGCATGCCCTGCATTTCAACCCAATCCCGCAGGTGCCCCTGGCTCATGCCACCTTTGCCCCCTCTCTGAGCTGGCTGCAAGCAGATACTTATTTTGCATCCATTATGCACAAGGCACCAAGGTCAGTGTCCCCATCAGCATGCTTCACACTCCTCTAGAACTGCTTTAAAAGCAAGTAACCAATGACCTGGTGACCTGATTCCTGCTGGTGTCTTTTTAAAACTATCCAGTGCTGCTTGTAATTTTTTCCTTTGATTTTGCAATATGAAAATTCTTTCCACACTGCTTTCCACTAGATAAACACGACATCATTCTTCTTCTCCTCCTCTTCCTTCTCCTTCCTCTTCCTCTTCTTATTTTTTTTTCTTGTGAATTTGTTTTTGTGGGATGTAGCGGATGGGTCAGCGGCGGTTCTGTGCCACCAGGGTGCTGTACACTCTACTCTTCCTGGGATAACCTTTGGAGCCTTTTCTGTTCCTTGGAGGCTGCTGCTCTTGCTACAGCAGCCTCTTCAGGCCCACGGCTGAGTGGCTCCCCTTTCAAAGAGCATTTCCGCTTTTTCTTGGGGACACTCCTAGTTCCTGCCTCTTCAGGGTCACGGACTGGTTCCTCTTTGGGGAATGATGTCTGCCTCTGGGAAGACTTCCACTGCCAGCTGTCTCCTCAAGGTCCCTACCAACCAGCGCCTCCTCTTTCTTCAGTTTAGATAAAGAGACAGGCGGGTCTCCCAGCCCATTCGCCCGAGGAGCCCCCTCGAGCTTTTGCTTTTGCTTCTTTTTGGGTTTTCATGTGTCTGGCGTGTTACCGCTGTTACGGAGATACTACCTTCTTGAAATCTGAGTATAATATCCAGCTATGAAGTGCCATTGCATTTACCCAACCCTGGTTTCTGAAACTAGGTTCTTATTCCTCAAAACTATCACTAACGATCAACAGTTGGGGGTGTGCAGGAGGCAGCCGATGGATGTTTCTCTCTCATTGATGTTTCTATCTCTCTATCCCTCTCCCTTCCTCTCTCTATAAAATCAATTTTTTAAAAAAAGACTTTAAGGTTATACTGATTTAATTTTTGGCGCTTTGCCTCTATGTCCCAGTTAAAGTAAAATATATTCTCATTAATGTAGATGGAGACGGAGGCTGTATATTGACGGCTGAATTTTGGCATAGTGGCTGTACCCTATCAATAAAGGCTGTAAGTGTTGTGTAAAAAACTTGCGCTGTTTAATGTGCGACTATTTAAATTAAAGTGAATTAAATACAACTCAAAGTTCAGTTCTTCAGCCACACCATCCCATTTTATGGGCTTGAAAGCCACATGTGAACAGAAGCTGCCCTGCGGACCAGCACAGCTTAGGGCTCTCCACTCCTGAAAGCCTCTTACAACCCATTCCTTATGCCCCTGGGGTTCCACATTCACGAGGCATGTTGGGTGGGAGGGAAATCCCCGCCAGTGTGAGTCAGACAGACCACACGCGGCTCCCGGCTCCCTCAGCCACCAGGCGGGCCCAGGTCCTCACTCGTGGCTCCCATTCCTGTCCTGGGTGCTCTCTCACAGCCCAGCTCTGCCAGAGGCACCTCGCAGTCCCCTCCAGGGATCAGCCTGCCCTGGCGAGCTCTAAAGCTCCACAGGACCCCAGCTCTACCTCCAACGCTGAGCTCCACGGCTCCACCCGCATCCCAGATAACCAACCTGCCCCTACAAGCCCCACACAGCCCCGCATTGTCTTCCCTCGCGTGTCCCCTTCATGAGCACACTCACGTCCCGGCTGCCCGATGAACTCCTCTCTGCCTTCGTGGCTGATTCCAGCGTCACGCTGCCCAGGAAAACATCCTGGTCCCCACAGGCCCAGGACTTCAGCCTCCCTTCCAAGTCAGAGCCCTCCTCCCGGCAAAGTCTCTGCGAACTGCTTGGAGGAGGTTCTGGGTGCATATCTGAGCTCTGAAAACCTCCAGGTGCTCACACCCTTCCCGCCAGTCCTTCTGAAATCACCCACCGGAGGGTGGTTTCCAGGGAGCTTACAGAGGAGTCCCAGGCTCCTAACTGCCCCCCCACCCCTTTTTAATCTATGGTTTAAAAAAGCCATACTCACTGTTCAAGGAGCACAGTCTTCTTTCCCAACGGCTGCTGGCTCTGGTAGAAGATGAAAATGAGATTCTGAAATTACAAAAAGCGAAAGCAAGGACGCGTTAGGAAATAGGAGCTAAGTGATAACAGCCAGCAAACTGCTGGCTTTGCGGGAGGCGCAGAGCTCTCCTCGAGGCAGAGGCCAAGTACAAATGCCCGGTGGCTTTATAGTCGCCTCCGTCCAAGTCGCCTCCCCCGGTTGAGCAACCCGCACAAAGGGCAGGGCGTGCCAGGTCCCGGGAGGGCAAGAAGGAGGTCAAAGACCAGCTGAGGTGAGAAGAGAAGCATGGGAGTGAGAGGAGGAACCTGGTTGTCTATTGGAGGATCAACTTAACGGAGACCCTCCAATAAAAACTAAAACTCTCCTTCTCCATCGGGGAACAGGGGTTACCTAAAAGCTGTCCTCGGAAAGAAACGAGAGGAAGGTGGAAACACCGTGCACGTGGGAATACTATTTCTACTAGAGCAGCGGTTCTCAACCTGTGGGTCGAGACCCCTTTGGGGGTCGAACGACCTTTTCACAGGGGTCGCCTAAGACCATGGGAAAACACATATGTAATTACATATTGTTTTTGTGATTAATCACTATGCTTTAATTATGTTCAATTTGTAAAAATGAAATTGGGGGTCACCACAACATGAGGAACTGTATTAAAGGGTCGCGGCATTAGGAAGGTTGAGAACCACTGCCCTAGAGTAACTAGCTCCGATTCAGGGCTAGACAGAGCACGGGAGCTGGGAAGGGCACCGCAGTAGGAGAACGGAGGGAAGGGTAAGGGAGGGCCAATGCACAAACCCCGAATTATTTCTGAATATGGTGGGCAGTTAGACAGACATGAGCAGGGCCAGGACAAAGGGCCAGGGACAGAAAGTCACCAGGGCAGGAAGCCCCAAGTGCCTAGCAAGCACCTAGCCATGGACAATCTGTAGGGTGGGACCTCGTCCCCAGGCGACCTTTCCTCCCCGTGCATCCTGACGTGGTGTAGACCCCCGGACCTTTCCTCCCTCTGCATGACACCCAGGCCTCAGTTGTGTTTTAGCTCCAGGCCCAGAGAAGCAGCAAAACCAGACAAGCGACACCATGGCTGACCTCGGGACCCGCTGCATTGAGTACTGACCCCCTGCCCTGGCTCTGGCCCCTTAGTGGAGACCATGACGCCTGGAAGCTGATGAATATTCTATTGGATTCTAACCTGGGTCCCCCCCCTAAGATCTTCACCATTAAAAGCGTTTAGGATGGAGGACCCGTGCCTGAACCTATCCCCACCCCCTTACCATTACCTCCCTCACTCCCAAGCTCTGAGGGTCCTTCTTCTGCCTCTGTAACTCACTGACCCGTTTCCTCTACCACTCACTTCTTTCCTCTGGAATTTTCTAAATACATCGTTTGAGTCTTGGCTCTGATTCTTCCTAGCCAGAACTCAAGCAGGCTGGTCTAACACCCAGGGCTGTTCCTCCTGCCACCAACAAGAGGATCAAAGAGTTAAACATAAAAAAACAAAACGATAAAAGTTCTGGAGGAAGACATGAGAACTCTTTTAAAATATCTTCATGGGCAAAGTCTTTCTAAGTAAAATATACAACCAGAGGCCATAAGAAAAAGATGAATTAAGTTGACATCATAAACATTTTTTTTAAATTAATTGTTTTTAGAGAGGAAGGGATACATACACACACGCAGAGAGAAACAATGTCTTCTACTTATGCATTCATTGGTTGATTCTTTTTATTTTTATTGATCTTTATAGAGAGAGGAAGAGAGAGGGAGAGAGAAACATCAATGTGAGAGCAAAACATTGATAGGCTGCCTCCTGAATGCCTCCAACAGGGATCCAGCCCCAAACCTACACCTATCAGGAAGATCCTCTAGCCCAGTGGTTGCCAACCTTTCGGACCTCATGGACCACCAGTGAGTCTAGCCAACGGACCTAACCGGCCAGGGCATAACAATGTTATTCATTCATTCATTCATTCATTCATTCATCCTTACCCCAGGATACGTTTATTGATTTCAGAGAGAGAGGAAGTTGAGAGAAAGAGAAACATTGATGTGAGAGAGAAACATCAATTGGTTGCCTCCCGTACGCACCCCAACTGGGGATCGAACCAAAACCTGGGTATGTACCCTGACCTGGGATGGAACCCGCAACCTCTTGGTGTTTGGGACGATGCTCCAACCAACTGAGCCACCCTGCCAGGGCATAAAAATGTTCTTAAATGGCCACATGGAAAGAAGTTAACTTTTGTTGATACATATCAGAGGCAACAGAGTAATTTCCTTAATGTACAAAGGGCTCCTACACATCAATATAAATATCAATAAAATCTAACAGAAAAATGGGCAAATGATCTGAATAATTTACCAGGAAGTAATACAAATGACTCTTACAAATATAAAAAGATGCTCAATCACATTTAAAATAAGAGACATGTGCCCAGCTGGTGTGGCTCAGTGGTTGAGCACTGACCCATGAACTGAAAGGTCCCTGGTTCGATTCCCAGTCAGGGCACATGGTCAGGTTTCAGGCTTGGTCCCCAGCTGATCGATGTTTCTCTCTCATCAATGTTTCTATCTCTCTTCCTCTCCCTTTGTCTCAAAAAAAAAAAAAATCAATAAAAACATATTTTAAGAGATATGCAAATTAAATCTATAAGGTAATGGTAATGTTTATTTATCACACTGGCAAAGAACAAAAAGTTTAATAATAGACTATATTGCTGAGGCTGTGGGGAAATAGAGGCTCTCATACAATGTGCCAATTTACATTTCTACCAACAACTTTATAGACGGCAATTTGGCAAAATCTGCAGCAATGTTATATGCCCACACACTTGAGCTAACAATCTCACCTAAGAATTTATGTTTATAACTAACTGAGCATGTCTGAAAACATGCCGTGTTATTTGTTACAGTATTACTTATTATGGCAAAAGACTGGAAATAATTCAAATGTCCACTTATAGGAAACCTATTAAGTAAATGAGGGTATAACTTTGCAAAGAAGTATAATGAATAGCCATTAAATACAAGTAAAAGTAAATGTAAGCCATTAAAATAATGAGGCAGTTCTATTTGTCTCTATCAGTAATAACCTCCAAAGTACATTGTTAACTAAAAAAAGCAAGGAACAGAAGAGAGTGGATGGAATAACACCTCTTGCATTGAGCAGAAGAGAAAAAGAAGTACATACATTATGCTTGTATATGTGTGAACCGTTTCTGGATAGATGCACGAGAAACTGTCATCATGGCTGGCACTGGAAAGGGAAATGAGGGGCAAAGAGCAGAGATAAGGGGGACCTTTCGCTGATGCCCTTTTGTTCCTTTGGATCACTACCATGTGCATGTAGGGAAGGCTTTCCCTATGGAATTAAAAAAATAAACTCCCAAAAATAAAATGGTCCGGCCCATTTTTGCCCATTCCCTAGGCCAGTGGTCGGCAAACTGCGGCTCGCCAGCCACATGCGGCTCTTTGGCCCCTTGAGTGTGGCCATGAAGTTTCAATTGCCCTGTACGTGCGCGCCCACCCGTGGTTTTTTGTGGAAGAACCACCCTCAAGGGGCCGCAGTTTGCCGGCCCCTGCCCTAGCCCCTAAACCACATGTGGCCGTTTAAATTTAAATTGATTAAAATTAAATAAAATTTAAAATTCCGTTTTCTGATGCCATTGCAATAACCTGGTTTAACAGGAAGTGAGTAAAGGGGAAAGGGAGGTGATAGAGGCATGCCAGTTACACACCTTCGCCAAAAAGCTGAATTTAACATGTCAAGGCTGTTCCCTGCTGACTGAGGTGGGGAGGGACTGGAGGGAGGCAGGGACACATGCCCACTGAGGTCTGAGTGATGTGGGACGGTGCTTTCCCATCAATCACACCTGAAGTCAAGCCAGTGGCCAGAATGGGCATGGTCACTCCAGCTCAGGAAACCTGAGTTCAGCGCGCTCTCTCTCTCTCTCTCTCTCTCTCTCTCTCTCTCACACACACACACACACACACACACACACACACACACACGCGAGGGCTTCGGACTCCTGCTACAGGGGAACGCGCTCCCCGGTGCCAGCATGGTGCACACATGAACTAAGAGGCTTTCATTAGCCTGGACGCTGAAGCACACCCACCCAGTAGCAACATGGTGCGGAACCTCTGCACACTGGCCCTGCTTCTGGCTCTGCTGAGACCCCAGCTGCACCTTTGCCAGGACTGGCTTGAGGGGCAGGGGGCTTTGGAACCTAAGAAAAGTGACTCCATGCAAATAAAACCTGCTTCCACATCCCATCCTCCCGTGCAATTCTTAGAATATTCATTTTCTGAAGATATCGCAAGAATGACACTCCTGCAAGTGACCAGGGAGTTTAATTCTCTAGCGCTGCCGAGGCTTCTGGCTGAGCGGCTCTCCCCCTGGGAACACACTGACCACCAGGGGGCAGCTCCTGCATTGAGCGTCTGCCCCCTGGTGGTCAGTGCATGTCATTGTGACCAGTTGTTCTGCTGTTCGGTCAATTTGCATATTAGCCCTTTATTATATAGGATTATATATAAGAGGATATTATAAAAATTAAGTTACAAAATTTTTATTAAAACATTTCTTACGTACCGTTATATTGGCTGGTCTGAAAAAACATTCGTTGTGGGCTGCATGTGGCCCACGGGTCGTGAGTTTGACATGCTTGATGTAGA